AAGATTGAATTAAAGAATACATTCAATACTTTTATCAATGGAAGAGATTAAAATTTTCCTAATGTACTCCAATGTTTAGTAACCCAGCTAAGATAGTAATTTTCCTAATGTAACTATCCTCTAAAAATTTTTCTAGTCTGCTACACTTTTCTTATTTTAAAATTCAATATTTATATGAAAGAAAGATTGAATTAAGAAATATTATTAAATATTAAATATTATTCAATACTTTTATTAATAGATTAAATTTTCCTTCTGTAACTATTCTCTAAAAATTTTTATAGTGCTACATTTTTCTTATTTTAAAATTCAATATTTATGTGAAAGAAAGATTGAATTAAAGAATACATTCAATACTTTTATCAATGGAAGAGATTAAAATTTTCCTAATATATTCCAATGTTTAGTAACCTAGCTAAGATAGTAATTTTCCTAATGTACCTATCCTCTAAAAATTTTTATAGTATGCTACATTTTTCTTATTTTAAAATTCAATATTTATGTGAAAGAAAGATTGAATTAAAGAATACATTCAATACTTTTATCATGGAAAAGATTAAAATTTTTTTAATGTAACTATCCCCTAAAAATTTTTCTAATATGCTACACTTTTCTTACTTTAAAATTAATATTTATATGAAAGAAAGATTGAATTAAAGGATACTAAATTCAATACCTTTATCAATGGAATAGATTAAAATTTTCCTAATTTAGTTAATCCAGCTAAGATAATAATTTTCCTAATGTAACTATCCATATACAAAAGAATATACATTTTCATTTCATTTCATTTCATTTTTTCCAAGAGATCCGGTAATTGTACACTGTTCAATTCGCCGGGTACGAAAGGTAATTTAAAGTTTGAAATCCAATTTTTGATGTAGAGGGGATGCAAAGAAGTTCATCTAAAATCGGTAAGAGGAGAATGATGAGGCGGGCCAGCTGTTTCGTTATGAAGACACTTTGGCCGAGGGTTGGCTGCCGATTTGAATCAACGTCCACGGGGATCAAAGTCCGTGGCGCAGGTGGCTCGAAAGACGCTTTGAACAAACCCGCCACCCTGTTATTGGCCCAAGAAACACGGCTGGACTATCGATCGCTGATGTAAGCACACCCTTCCTCGGATCGATCACGGCTAACTATCCTATTTTCTTCTCCCTTCGTTTCGCGTTTCTTCTTCTTTGCAACCTCCTTTTATAGCGAACTCTTGATATCAATATCCGATTAAATAAACGTTCGATACACAGATAAAATTCATTTATTCCAATTGACTCTCCTATTAGTCGATTGAAAAATTAAAATTGATGAGGATAATACGAATCTTGGTTCAACTGAGAAAAAATACTTAGAAGAATTAAGACTGCTTCGTTCGAAGTGACATTTTTTATACATAATAATATTAGAATTTTTTGATATTAGAATTTGTAAAAAATAAAAAAGATAAATGGAACGCTAGTTCAGAAATTCGATCGATCGTTGAAAGGATAAATTGCCGATAAAATTTTCTCTCACCCCCAATTTTCGAAGCTTGGTCGCGTACCCCGCCAGCAAGTAGGATTTCAGATCCTTGAGGGTCGTTTCTTGCCTCTTGTCCAATTTCCTCGCATCGCTCCTCCTCGAGTATCGATCGTCGTCCGCTACGATCTCGTCCTCGCCTCGCGATCTCTCCGACTTGACCGGCTGCGAGCAGAAGAAAAAGAGAATTTGCGGAAGAAATCGTTTCCTCGAACTCGCATCGTCGAAAATTCCAATTTTTCTTCGAGATAATTCGAAAAGTTCCTCTCTCGATGTTTTTAATTTCTCAAGAACCCTACCGGCGGAGTTTAAAAGTTTGTTCGATGACCAAAAGAGAAACGTCTCTCTCGAGAGTCGTCGTCGTCATTTTTGGACAAGCTCGACAAAAGGATCGATTTATTCGAGTATTATCGCGCGAGAATAAGGGAGAATCTTTATCTCGTTCTTCGAAGCTCTCACCTCGCTCGACTCGACCACGTTCCTCCTTCGAATCGGCTCCAGTTCCTCGTTCAACCGATTCACGCCCTCCTCCGATGGTGGCACGCTCTTCGACACCTGGGTCTCGTTCCTGCTCCCTATCAGGATCTCCTTCTGCGTGCTCAGCTCCTTCTTCACGGTGGGCACGCGCTTCGTCTTCGTCCGATTACCCTCGCCGTGGTTCCGCTCCTTCTTGTACTTCACCAGCTCGACCACCTGAGATCAGAGAATTCTTCCGTGTACTCCGGCCGAATATTAAATAAATTTTTATTACACATTTTTATTACACAATTTTTATTATATATTAAATAAAAGGAAGGGGAATTTCTTTCGGCAAACTCGACACGGGGGAATCATTAGGAATTAAACGTTTGTGGATAAAAGAGAAACTTTTTTGGCGAAAAGAAGAAAAATTATTTAAAAAATTAGTATGCACTCTTTTTTCGATTCCGTGTTTTTCGAGATATTTTTGTCATCGTGGATGGACTTTGTTACGACTTTTTTTTAAATTTTTGGATATATACAAGATTATTATATTTACTTTGGAGTGTAATTGTGATAAAAGTAAAGTGTTTAAAAGTTACGTTGCTCACGTGTTGAGTAAAAAGTCTTGTGGATATTTGGAAATGAAGAGAATCGTATTTAATGCGTAAATTTTTATTCGAAAAAATTAACTTAGAAAGAGGGAATTATTTCTTTTCGAGAATTTAGGAAATGCTTTTGTGGAAAAACGTTTGCCACGAGTATGAATGGCATCATGTATAATAAAAAAAAAAAAATATACAAAATATCGATATAAATAATTTGTAAAAACTATTAGAAATTTTGTTCGCGTAAGACATAAATAAATGTAAAAAAATAAAATATTCTTCGCAAACTCTGGTAATTCTTTTTTTTCCTTACTCCATTATAACAAGAAAATTTTACTTTTAAGTTATGCAGGACATTCTTACCTCGAGGGTGTTTTACAGAAGCGTGGCACGTAATTAAGACTAAATGAAAAAGAGGATCTGGAGGGCAAACCTGCCCTACTTTCAAAATTCTCGTAACTTAAAAAAAGAAAAAAAAATAAAATAAAATAAAATAAATAAATTTCGAACGCGATACCGTAAATTTTCGGTTTCACGAAGGTAAAATTGAACGAATTCGTTCTACGTAGACAGCGAGTAATTAATTTATTCCATATATAACTCTGTTTCGATAGAACAAATTGCTCGTTTGTTCGAGAGGCGGCACATACCCAACCCTACTCAACCCACCTCAACCCATCGCCCACCCCGTGGTCTCTCTTGCTATAATAACTCGTTAACAAAACGAAAGTTTTTGCAAAGGGAAATGAAATTATCTCACCGGAGTGTCTTCATTTCTGGGCCACAGTGTGTATTAAAATAGGTGAAAGAAAAACGTCGTATCGATTTTCGTGAATATATCCTCGATATTTCGACGAACGAGAGCATCCTCTAACGAAGCCATTAACGTAACAATCGCGTAATACAATATAATTGATGTAACGAAGATTCATCGATTTATCCAAAATTAAACCGACAACGAAAATAGTTAATCGACCTAACTTTATATTCGATATCCCCAAAGTTGAAAAGTTAATCTCGTATCTGGGACACGTCTCGACGAATTTAACGAGAGGAGGGTTGGAGAGTGCGCGATAGAAAAAAATAGGTAACATTATTATCTTGGAGAAAGGAATCGCGAAAAGGAGGAGCAGAAACCGAAGACGTCGACGGATAGTCGACGACTTCCCCCTCTCTTCCCGAATTTAAAATTTCAAATCCTCCTCTTAAGACGTTACAAATCGGTTTCCGATCGCGAAACATCCTCGGACCTTTGTCGATGCAAAGCACTTTCCGATACTCTTCCATCCCCCTCGTCCCGATACAAACAGACAAATTCTCTTTCCTCCTCCTTTAATACTCTCTTCTTCCGTTTCCAAACCAACTGCTTTCCCACTCTGCGCTTCCTCCCGATAAATCGAGACGATAAACGATACGATTCTCTCTCGACTCGAATCCCGGTAATGGATTTTTCTGTCCTTTTTTAAAAACTTTCCCTAATTTGAATTCAATTAAAAAAAAAAAAAAAAAAGAGAGAGCGAGAGCGAGAGCGAGCGAGCGAGCGAGAGAGAGAGAGAGAGAGAGAGAGAGAGAGAGAGAGCGAGAGCGAGAGAGCGAGAGCGAGAGCGAAAGAGCGAAAGAGCGAGAGCGAAAGAGCGAAAGAGCGAAAGAGCGAGAGCGAGAGCGAAAGTTAAAAAGAGCGAGAGCGAGAGCGAGAGAGCGAGAGCGAGAGAGAGAGAGAGAGAGAGCGAGCGCGAGAGAGCGAGAGCGAGAGCGAAAGAGCGAAAGAGCGAGAGCGAGAGCGAAAGAGCGAAAGAGCGAAAGAGCGAGAGCGAGAGAGCGAGAGCGAGAGCGAGAGAGCGAGAACGAGAGAGCGAGAGCGAGAGAGCGAGAGCGAGAGCGAGAGAGCGAGAGAGCGAGAGAGCGAGAGCGAGAGAGAGAGAGTTCCGCGTCACACGTCGGATCGCGAGCCGGAAATTGATCGGTCAGCGAGTGGAACGAGGATAACCAGAAGCGAGTCAGGCTAGGACCAGATATCGGGATTGAACGTTGTCCTGGCGTGAGGCCAGGTTAATCGTAAATGGAGCGCGGTAAGAAAGGTACGGGGGGCAGGTGGTAGGTCAGGGCCGTTGCCGGGTCAGGGTTCACTCCCCAGGAACGCTTTGTCCCTGCCCTCGCGAAAGTGTGCTTCGAACGAAACGCGATAGTGGTCAAGGCTCGACCGCGATGTCGACTTTTCCCCGAATCGGGTCATCGGGCTTTTATGCGAATGATCGTGGTTGGAGCAAGGGTTATTTACATACACGCGTGAAGCTCTTTCAATAAAATATCGAAATTAGATTCATTTAGACGTGAATTAACGAACTTTTATTTTTCCAGTAGGAATTAATCGATGAGATTCTCTTGCATCCAATCGAAGTACAATTAATATACAAGTATCGTTGTTTCGCGAGCGAGTTATATTTAATTGTCTGTTAAATTATCTCTTGACCCTAAATAAAGGATGATGCTGTTCGAGAAAACTATCGTTCACAGTTTAATCGACGCTTGTACATTTCTGACTGTTCAACTCGGATAAAGGACGATGTTATCCGAGAAGATAGTCGTTTTCGAGAGTTCAGTCGGCGCTTGTAATCGTGTATTTTTGACGCACTTCCAGCTTGAACTGATTCTAAAGGCTACGTATTCCAGACGCGTTCTAGTCCAAGGAGATATAATTATAACAGAGATATGTTGATAAATTTCTGTTTATCTCGATATGTTTGCGAATGAAGATCGTCGGTCCGATTCGAGGAATTTCTCTCCAACTCGAGAGTGTCGCAAGCCAGGCACCAACCGCGATATGATTGGTCGTTGTCGTGCCCCACCGAGAAAACCGAGATCCTGCCAATTGAACTAGGAAGGGATTTTACAAAGGCACGAGTCTCATTTGTAAACAAAGTCTCATCACGAACAGTCGTGTTTCGATACGCCGGATACAACAAATAGATAACGTTCTAATACTGCGTTGTACACGATCAGCGATGGAAAAAATTTAATAGTCGAAATTACGAATAAAGTTGCTTGGATGAGTTAATTCGATAATTTATCGTTCGTAATAATAATTGGAAGGCCGAGGTTATGCGAAAAGAATATATAAGACTATAATAGCTACGAACGTTGTTTAAATATTTTAATAAGTAATTGCTTAAAGCGATTTTATTCGAGATTTTTAACTTTTTCAAAAGGTTAATGTCTAACTCTGTTTTCTTATAGACACGTTTATACGTTCACTCGTCTTTGAGAAATATACCATTTGTTACGACATCTGTCGAAGAGCATTTTACAATACCTATCTATTGGTTTCTCCACCATTACAATATTATGAATAATATTATTGCGAACAATTGTTTGATAAAGAAGAATTTCAATTTCAAGAAAAGAGAGAAGAAGAAGTATTCTCCTATGTATCGAATATTTTATCATCTCGCACGATTTCACTTCTCTTCGACCGACAGTGAGTATATATATATAGTGTTTCTAACAATCGTGTTCTAGTCTGTATACGCGGCTTTATAATCGCGTGGCTACGATCAATTGAAATTCCGCGCTCGGCACGTTATTCGAAACGTAGGCAAAAGCTTTCTCCGATTCGTGCCAGATGGTCCAATCTAGCAAAGTTCCAAGCGAAATTTCAATATAGAAACGTACCGATACACCTGCACAACGAGTGTCAAATTTACTTGAAAAACTTGCGCGGTTCGATCCCTCTTTTTCCTTCCCGTTCATTTCACGTTTCATTTTCGAGGAGCGGTTAAACGATGTATGCTATATATCACCGTTCTCGAAACGAACGCGCACACCTGCGCTTTTTTCCACCTTCGGTAACTGTCGATTCTCGAAAGAAAAACTTCTTTCCTTCTCGAGGAAAAGGAAAAGTTCGCTCTATCTCGCGAGACAAATGAATATATATATATTTTACA